GTGTGGTGAACTTTATTTAGAACACAGAAATCTGTACCTGCCATAAATGGGCCACAGTTTTTTTTTCTCCAGTCCAAAGGCTCACAATCCTCGCCTGTACAAGTGCATATACCGTTCAATGCAAACTGTCACAGAAATGCATAAACTACTATACTATACTATACTATATATGGTTCACTCTTGCTTAAGAACTGCATAAATGTGTAAAAATCAGAAGGCCCTATGTAAAAAATAAAGATTTGACTGTAACTGCACAGTTGGGGTTGTGAATTCGCTAAATGGTAATTGAAATCAGTATATAGATGCATACATACATTAAGGACACTAAGCTCTACATATTCTATAAGTTACAAGATGGCCCTACTATGAATAAAATTAACATCTTACCTAATAGAATGCGATCTGCAGCAAAGGAAATAAAATCATCAAAGTGTTATCAAACAAGGTCAACCAATGCAGAGATAAACCCCATCCTTCAGATACACCAATAATGAATGATTATGCACTCATTAAGATAGTGCATTAGATTCCTTAAAAACATCATATACTGTTATGAAATTCAGCTTCAATTGATGGTTTGTTGTCTTAAATTAGAACACAGATCAATGGCTTATTAATAAGAGGTGTGATGTATGGTTTAGATTATATTTATTTCTTTTTGTGTCACAGATAAGCTGTCCTGCCTAAAAGTTCAGTGATAAGCAGGCTCCATCCTACTTTAGCTCTCTCTTTTGGGATAGTGGATACTTGTTATTCAGTTGAATGGGGCAAACACCAACAATAAAAAGAAAAGATAAGTGATCCTAATAATATAAATAAATTGCCTCGCTCAAATGTCGCAACTAAGGCAACCATATATGTGATAATATAAATAAGTCCAAATGTGAACATAGTGATGAACCATGCATTAGATCACCATGTGTCTTCAAAATGATTAGTGCTCCACCACCAGAAAATGGTAGGACTCTTACCAGAACATATGGACCCTTATACAAGAGTCAAAAAATGCATGAGAATATATATTATTATTATTATACAGTATTTATAAAGCGCCAATAGTTCGCTCAGCGCTGTACATTACAGAGGGGGGACAGAACATGTGACAGAACAATACCAATACAATGCAAAACATGAGGGGATTGAGGGCCCTGCTCTTTCGAGCTTACAATCTAGGAGGGAGGGGATGGTGGCACAGGAGGAGAGTATATCCACCAAGTCCCTCAGAATTGGAGGTAGTTAGATCATGGTACTGGATGAAAATATTTCTTTCAATTCCTCTCAATTCTTAATCTCAAAGATACCTCTCAGTATGACCATGCAGAGAAAGACAAAGGGGCGACCATCGCATAAAACACGTTTATTGACAAAGTATTGCACTCTCATTCAGATAAGTAGATCAGCGTTGTGTACAGAGTATTCTCATATTCAGGGAACAGGTACACTTCCTGGTGTTAGAAAGCAGAGTGTAGATGTCCAATGCACAAGCTCCACCCGACACGTTTCATCACATAAAGCCATCTGGGGCGTGGAAACAGTTTCAGACAATGTCATATCTGACAAAACACGTCGAATGGAGCTTGTGCACTGGATGTCTACAGTCCGCTTTCTAACACCAGGAAGTGTACCTGTTCCCGGGATATGAGAATACTCTGTACACAGCGCTGATCTACTTGAATCTAAATCTGAATCGGAGTGCAATACTTTTTGTCAATAAACATGTTTTATGGTTTTATGCAAAGGTCGCCCCTTTGTCTTTCTCTGCATGCTCATACTGCGAGGTATAGCTGTGAGATTAAGAATGGAGAGGAATTGAAAGCAATATTTCCATCCAGTACCATGATCTAACATCCTCCAAATTTTGAGGGATTCGGTGGATATATGCTCATGCGTTTGTGACTCTTGTATAAGGGTCCATACGTTCTGGTAAGAGTCCTACCATTTTCTGGTGGTGGAGCACTAATCATATTGAAGACACGTGGTGATCTACTGCATGGTTCAATACACTGGGACTATTTTCACATTTGGACTTATTCTTATTATTACTTATATGGTTGCCTTAGTTGCGACATTTGAGCACGGCAATTTATTTATATTTGCATACAACTGACCTGATTGTCTTGCTAGCAGCTTTCTTCATTTATTCACTATTTACACAGCTTTTTTTGTTTCTTTTTGTTCATAAGTGATCCTAATAAGCCTGCTGCATTGCACCACTATGCTGAATAAGCATTAAAGAAAGCAAGATTTTCTACATTTTTAAAAGGAATGTTTGTTGTTTACAGGAAGCAGGTGAAGTACAGGAAGCAAAAATATGGTGAAGAGCTAAAAGCAATAGACCAATCCGAACATTCACAATATGGTAAAAGTTTCAGGGTGTTATGCCCACTTCACCTTCAATATCTTAAGACAATCCAGATTTAAAAAAAACAGAAGCAATATATAGTTTAGTATTTCAAAACTACAAAGGTGGGTTACAAGTGTGTGGGGAACCACTTCTCTCCCCATAAGGGCACCACCATGGTGCAGAGCCATCAGTTTTTCTGAATGTGTTCTTGAAGTGTACAACAAAGTAAATTATTCTCAATGTGCCCTGTTCACACCACAACATTAGTATCACATGCAGATTATTTCTGTGCAGGAATCTGCAACATGTCTAAATCTCATTGACGTGCACATGAAAACTGCTGCAAACTGATGTCTCTGCAAGAGATATCTGCATGTCAGTTGCCTTCAGGTTTTCTGCACCTATGGTGTGAATGAGGCCTTAAGGTGCAGGATAATCAGTAGGTTGTTTCAAAACTATGAACAGTGAATGAGGAACCATGAATCCCTTGCATTGGAAAATGGAAAACCAACAAAAGGTGGAGACAATCAAGGCACCCCATTCTCTGCATTAAGGTCAAAAACCTTCCATTGTCAGCTGTACCCTGCCTTTCCTAAATACTTACCTGAGTCCAATCTTGATCCTGCACTGTACCCAAGAGCAGCAGTGCTGCTCCTTATCTCTCTCATCACAGGCCATTGGCTCCTGCTGCTGTCAATCAAATCCTGTGAGGAAGGAGCAGGGACGGGGCTTAGTCGCACTGTGTGTGTCAATAAATGCACACAGCCCAGCTTGGGATCGAGCCCCCATGAGTGCCCCACAACAAGCGGCTTGCTATGGGGCACTCGGAAGGGAAGAAGAGCAGAGATCGCTGGTGGTGATCTCAGAAGAAAATGTTCTGGGGCCACTCTGTTCTAAACTATTGCACAGAGCATGTAAGTATGACATCTTTTTTATTTGAAGAAATAAAACAAAACTTTACAATCACTTGAAGACAAGGAGATCCATTCCTATATAAATTTGCAGTACACATTACACAGCATGTTGACCATATTTAGAGTTGACTGACCATGGGACACCTGGATCTTTGTATTGATTAGTATTGCTCTATATCCTTGCCACCAGTGAATTGTACTTAGAAATTACTCCCTCCCATTTAAAATATCCATGCTCCAGACAACCGTCACTCCTAATATAATGTACATTTGAGAAGCAATGCAAAGGTGCAGTCACCTAATGCTTTAGTGGAGAAGAGGGCAATTACACAACCATAGCAGGCAATACAAAATTCTACTGCTGCAACCCTTTTCTTGAGTAAAAAAAAATCATCACGCCTCTGATTCCAGAATATGTACATAATATAAAAAAAGACAACAGTGTTTAATTGGTGGGCATAATTTTGTACAAGTAATTGTCACCTACTTTGATGCATTAGGTCCAAAAATGTAATTGCAGAGCTAGGGAGAAAAACTGTTCAAAAATGTCAGTGTAGAAATATCAGAGCTGCAGACCCCTAATGCATGAGGCCAATTCAAATATTTTGTTAATGATGCAAAACTGATTTTAATGAGCTGTGGAGGAAATATTTTGGTGGTATACATCAGATTCTTACCAGCCTGCATGTAGGGTTCAAGCATTAAATAGAAATAGATAGCTTCTTCATATTTTATAATTAAACTTTAGCATGCAGTGATAGCTGAATGTGGTATGAGACTGAGCTCGGGTCCATATAGTTTTATTTTTGTGCTTAAATGATGTGCTTTCTGCACACTCTTCTATTAAAGTGGTAGTAAACTGCATACATTAAAAAAAAATCCCTGCAAGGTGAACACATTATGCAAAACTTACCCCAAACGAAGCCCTTCAGTGGCATGCTGTCACCACTGTAGAGGCTTCCATTTTTCACCCAGACTTCCTTCCAGGTTCGCGAGCTCTGACCGTCTGACTGGCTGGGCAGCGATGATGTCACTCCCATGCATGCACACGGGAGTCTCAGTCTCGGGACACGGCACAATGCTTTGAAAGAATGGCACGGGTATGCCATTCCTTCAGAGCGCATGGGCCGGCTGCAACAAAACTTGAATATCTCCTAAACGGTGCACGTTTAGGAGATATTCATTTTACCTACAGGTAAGGTTTATTATAAGCTTACCTGTAGTAAAAATATACAAAGTGAGTGTACTAGTACTTTAAAGCAGAAGTAAACAACTTTTTTGGGGAAAAAATAAAACGCTGACAGGTAGGCTGTCAATGACAGAAGAGAATCAGCATGTCTTTTTTCTGAGTATACACTGAGCTTCACATGCACAGCATAATGTACAAGCTTGGCACGTGTATCCCCTGTGCAGGAGTTACGTCACCCAGTCAAGATGGCCGGAGACTCTGAACCCAGAGGAAGACTGAATGAAGAAGGAAGCTCTGGCAGTGGAGGGCAGTGCAGATATCACAGCACTGGACAGGATTGCTTTGTAGATTATTGTGCCATAATGTGTAAATATGATGTACATTATTGCACATTATGGCAAAAAGATCCAGGGGCCCATTTTTTTTTTGTGATTTTGGTTTATGTCAGCTTTAAAACTAAAAAAGGATCTTATATTCAATAATGCTTTCTTCAAAAGGTAGCTACCAATTATAATACATTATTTATTATTAAAAATGTGCAGAATAGAAGTACCTCATATCTCCCAGCTTTTTTCCAATTGCACTTCCAACATTAGTTATTGCAGCAGATGCTTTTATCCCAGCTTGGCTCAGGGTTTCTTGTGTCTTCTTGTACCTACAATGAACCAATTTGTGTCAGTGCATACTAGAAAATGACATTAAGAAAGAATTCAGTTTCCATTTTTTTAGGTCTCACTGCTCCATTTTTTTGCTAAACCTGAACAAAAACAGACTTGGTTATATTGTACATAAATAAGTATGTCAAACGCACTGCAAAAAGCACTGCAGAAAGAGATCAAACGCAAACCGCATAGGTGTGAGCCCAGCCTTAGATTTAATTATGAAGTTTAAAACAAAAATGAAAGTCTTTAAAACTATAGGTCAGTTGCTGAAGCTAAATTTAGCAATAACTAAATAAATAATTCGCCATTATTTTTTTTTTTAAATAAATCCGCTTTCCACTTTTATCATTACAACTGACAGTTAAATCAAACATTTTCAAGATATTCATTCACTTCGTTATAAGGCTATCTAACATTACATTGCTTTGAGCCTGGGTTCACACTTCTGTGGTGTGGTGTGGAACATCGCATGTGATTCGCACAGGAACCGCATTTTGTATGGTTCAAATCGTACCGCATCTGCACCAAAAAGGTGCAGGACCCCTTTTTTCAGTCCGCACTAGAATCGGATCACATGGGTATTCACACCTATGCGATCTGATTTTGCACATCACACCACATTTTGCGGACCGATTTCAGGGTGTTGTTAACTTGACATACACGCCCGCATCGGTTCGCATGAACAGGATGCGATTCTGATGCGGTGCGGAATTTGCGCATAAACCACTGCAAATTCCCTACTGGGCTAAAGGATTAGTTCACTTATTTAAAAAATAAATAAATAAATGCACAGTTTAATGCAAATATAAAAAAATGTGCATTATTTTTTTTTGGAGCCTAGAAAGCATTGCATCCGCTGATTCCTGAAAACTGACAGTGAATATGTTAACCTGTACATCTCGTACGGGCAAGCAGATACAGTCTGACAGGAAAACTCAATGAACTACCACAGCGCTCCATAGCGACGTGGTAGTTAATTTAGAACTACAAGCCACAAAGGCTGTTGGGACTTGTAGTTCGTTCATGCACAGAACTCTGTGAATGATTGGAGCCCAGCACGGCTACGCTGTTTTCAAAAAGTGACAACTAGTACTGGGAACTTCTGTCACAGGGAGGCAGGGTGGGGGATCGGGGAGCGGCTGCAGCATTGGGAACAAGTTCCCAAAGAAGAACTTTCCCTTTAAGGTGGTAGTTCACCGTGAACAAGATTTTCCCAAAATCCCCCCATTTAATTCCATGTGCTCTGTATAGTGCATACCAGTGCTCTTCAAATAAGGAGAGAGCACATTTGCACAGTTGGAATGGTCCTGAGTGGACACATCCAATCTACTATGATATCTAGGCAGAAGATACTAATCCAATATAGGAAGGTGCCCACCCGACATATGTCCCTGCTAAAGCATAGCTTTTATTAGCACAACCAGAAAATACAGCAAGAAATGAATGAAATGCTAAAACCCCACTCTCACCATCAAATCTGCTTAATAACAGGCAATTCCCTCTCCACTAACAGTCTTATTCTTCCCTAGACATGTGCTCTTCCTGTCCACTATTGTGTTTCTACTATTTTGGGACTATTCTATTTAATACTGCAAATAGCAATAATGATTTTTTTTCGCTGTTGTGCACCAGAAATCCATTTGTTACCAAAGAGATTCCTGTTTACTTTTTAATTTTTTTTGGCATAAAATAGAACCTGAGCCCTGTACTGGTAACAAAGCAAGTGCAGAAACAAGCAAGCAACCCCCATGTAAACAAACTACTGCTGCTTTCTCTGCTAACCCTAAGGCTGGCCATACAATGTTCAAATTTTGGCCAGTTCCTGATCAACCCAAAATTTGATCAGTGGGTGGCCCTGTCTGCTGCCTCATGCCTGACAATCTTTAATTGAAAAATCAGAAATTGTTGGCTGAACATCACCTGCATCCAATCAGATGCAGCTGCTGTTGGAGTATTTTGATAGCTGTCAGGTTAGCTGTCAAAATTCAATAGTTGCAGTGGGAGATTTCTCCTTCCTGGATGTGTAGCATGGATGGAGGAATCTGTTAGATTTTTTTTTCTGTTCAGCCTGCATGTATGTATGTGTATGGTCGGCGTAACTCTTCTTTTAACTAGTCCTCTGATTTGATAATTAGCAAATTTTTTTTATCTGTCGACTGCCCTCCGAAGTAGGTTCTGGACTTGGCACCAAATCTGATTCATACTCTTCTGCATAGCATCATATGCAGGGATCTCAGGAGTACAGGATGACTGCAGAGGAAGGTGTCAGTGTTTACCAAAAACTTTGAAAAATGGAGATTTCAAGTGCTGGTATTAAGATGATTATTGTGAGCGAATTCTGCCCAAGACAGAAGGGCAACCCAATCCTTTTGGTGGGCTGAGACAAAGTCCCGAAGGAACTGCTCCAAGGACTTGTTACTTCTTTCAGACTTCCCTCCCCTTTTGTCAGCTGCCCTCTGAAGTAGGGTCTGGACTTGAGACCAAATCTGATTCATACTCTTCTGCATAGCATCCAAGGCAGGGATCTCAGGAGTACAGGGTATCGGCAGAGGAAGGCTTGGGTGTTTACCAAAAACTTTGAAAAATGGATATTCCTAGGTTCTGGCATTAAGATGATTATTGTGAAAGGCAACCCAATCAACTTGGTGGGATGAGACAAAGGCCCGAAGGAACTGCTCCAAGGACTGGTTGCTTCTTTCAGACTGCTGATTGGACTGTGAATGGTAAGCCGAAGAAAACTGCAGTGATACTTCCAAGGATTTACAAATAGCCTTCCAGAATCTAGAAGTAAATTGAACCCCACAGTCAGAAACTACACTTAAAGTGTTACTAAACCCTGGATCCTGAATTCACTATATCGCATCTCCCACAGTGCACAGACCATGGAAATGCAATTATTTTAGTAAATATAAACTGCTAAATACCTTTTTCTTATCAGCAGTTAGAGCAATCTTGGGGCATCTATCAGTGTCCAGCAGAGGCCTGGTTAAAGCTTGTAGGAGGAGTTTTTGTTCTCCTCTGTTTGTCCTATGAGGCTGCATAACCCCTGACCCTCTGTCTGGACAGCACCGATTGGTCCTGTGCTGATCACATGCACATTCTCAAAAAAAAATGTGCATGCACAGCTTGCCCCAAGGCTCTGTTCTATCATCATATGGATTGGGGACAGTAGAAGGGGAGGATCAGAGATGACAGGATCAAACATCCTTTTTACACAATGCGGAGGATTAACCCCATAGATTCCACAGTGAGTATGCTTTACTGCATATACAGTCTGATTTTACGGTTGTGGGTTTAGTAACACAAATGATGACTGGCACCAATTCTACTGCAGATGGTAGTGAAGGAAGAGGTACAAAGTGTGCCATTTTATAAAATCGGTCTACCACAACCCACACTACAATACAGCCCACAGACAAGGGAAGATCAGTTATAATATTCATAGCAATAGCTCATCAGGGGTAGGCTATGGGATAAGAGATCTAGCCAAAGCTTGGTTAGACTTAAAATAAGAATGTCATCCAGATAGAGTACTACAAAGACACAGAGGAGGTCATGGAAAATCTTGTTGACGAAGTGCTGAAAAACCACCAGGGCGTTACAGAGGCCAAATTGTTTTGGACTCGGTCACTTACAGACCATTTACCGTGATCTACCAGTGAGCCAAATTAATATGAGAATACGTGCACGTGGAAGAAAGACACTGACACTGTTGCAGTTTGTCAACTTCATAAAATTCTGTTTTATTGAGGAACTAACAGTATCATTTATAGGGCTTATGATGCAGGCAAAGCATATACATTGATTGGGTGAAAAGTCCACTGGGTTTTCTGCGTGTTCGTCCATCCGTGTTGATATCTTCCAATCATTTTCTCCAAAAAGACTCATTCCCTTTTATGGGGGTTGTTTACATTAAAAGATACTTTTCTCCTAATGAGTCACCTAGGGTGAGACTCCGGATGAAGGGGCCATCTTAATTATCATTGTTCTGTCAACCTATATCTGATTGTTTACTTAAGAGAGTAAGGAATTTTAAAGAGCAAGAAGCAGAAAGTAGCAAGACTATAAAATTGTCATTTTACTGATCATCTAATAAAACGTGGGCTGTCTATCACAATCCACTACAATCCCCCCTAAAATGGCTATTTTATTCCTGACTGTCCCTATGTTTTCTGATGTCCTAACTGCCTGGTGGCCCTCCCCTTGGAACTCTTTTATGACGCATATAGAGCCCCTGAGTGGCTAATCCATCCCTAGAGTCTCGATATGTCCTGAGAAGGCCACAGTCAGGCACTGTCTTTCCCTGCTTATAGTTGTCTGTTAGGGGGGGGAAATTGTAGCATTCCCTCTTTTTTATAAGTCTGAAATATGATGGTCAGGGGCCATATATTCATAGTGGCCATCCCTGGTGAACAAAGCAGCCTTCCACTCATCTCCCTCTTTGATACAATTTAGATTATATGCTCCTCTTAAACTGAGTTTCGTGAAAACTTGTGCCCCATTAATTCAAACAACTCAGTAATAAGTGGCAACTGGTAACGGTTTTTAAGTGTATGGCATGTAATCCCCAGTAATCAATACTAGGATGAAGAGAACCGTCTTCTTTCTTGACAAAGAAGAAACCCGCTCCGGTGAGAGAGAAGGATTTTTGAATAAATCATTTTCAGAGATTTTCTGCAATGTACTCGGACATGGCCTTGGTCTCAGGGACACTGAGTGGATATACCCAGCCCCTAGGGATGCTGGAACCTCGGACTAGGTCTATGGCACAATTATAGGGTCTGTGGGGAGGAAGTTGGTCTGCCTTGCATTTGGAAAACATATCCACAAATTCCAAATAACTCATTGGCACCAGGGAAGAAGCCTCAGCGGATGCTACTGGAAGGGTTTTGACTGGAACCACCTTGCCTAGACATCTAAGCATGACAGGTGGTCTCCCAGGATAACAAATAAGGGCCAGACCAGTCTATTACCGGAGAATGTTGTTGAAGTC